TTCAAACGTCAAGTGCCGATACATGAAAACATCAGATGGAGATGGCGTTTCTGGATTTCTATTGGCGAATCGATTTAAATGAGAATCGGTGAGGTGTTATCTGGATTGCATGCATACCGCTAATGCCTCAAATTAACCATCAACTCGCAAAAACGTCAATGAGTCAGTCAGTCAGTCAGTCAGTTATAGGCACAAATACTCGGCCTTTCCTTTGTGACAATCAAAACATATTACAGAACCCATCATCCAGCACCATGCATTAACTTGCACAGTCAGTTATATATATGACAATTTCCAAACATGATTGTGATAAAAATATACCAAGCGTGAGCGAAGAGGGTGAGGGTAAAGTGGCTTGCAAAAGGACACTGCATTATGGCCAGCAGGTCGAGACGTCGGTCTGAGGTGTGATAACCGACTTGAGTCATAAGCTGGCCGTCTCTTGTATGGCATGTCGGTAAAGAGTATTCCAACCGACGTCAGCAAGACGCTCAAATCCCGCCGTTGGTTGTATAGCTAAATCCGGACAACGGTCCGACGTACCTAATTAGACGTGTCGGCAGGACGTCGGCCAGCTTAATTATAATGGACATTATAGGCAGGCCGTTTGCGCTGCTATAGGGCACGATGGGTATAGCCGTGGTCCAAATGGCGTCGGCAGCGACCTTCTGAAGCCTAGTTTCCATATATAGAAATAAGAAACGCAGAGAGCAACGCAAACGAGACCCAAACTACAACGCGGACATAACTATGGAAACATTTCATCCGGAAATGCCACCGACAACCCAGATAGACGCACACAAGTGTGTATTTGCCTACAACCGGGGACCCTTATTGTCCCTCTTTTGTTTGTACTTGGGGACCTTCGGGAATTGGGGACCCTATTGTCCTCTATTGTTCAACATCCTCTATTGAATGCAGAAACAAGCTCAAACTATCTCGCATACGATCGGCAAAGTTAAACCCGATTCAACTTTGCCTTTGGTTCTGCGCACTGTCTGCGCAGTCTGTGGAGACTGCGCAGTCTGCAAAAGCTCAACGTCAATATGGAAACTAGGCGATGGCCGTCTCAGACGTACTTTGACCGGCGCTGACCATTTTGCGACTTGGCCGACCGACTGCCGACCAAAACTGACGTCGGGCCGACGTCTTTGTGTTGCCTGCATGGGTGATGTTTGGTGATGACGTCAATAGGCCACATTTCTGAGCGAAAGAGGCCGCTGTATAACGACGCCATTTTCTAGGTACCAACACTAGAAAAGTTTCTTTTACTGAAGCACTTAAGTAACTTTACTTTAATCTAAAAAGTAAAGATTATAACTTTATATTTTGTTTAGGTTGTAGCAATATTTAAACGTACTCTAAACCTTAGATTACACGCCCAAATTACATCGTTATACAGTGACCTGATTTGCCGAGCTAGTCCTATTTTAGTCACGTAGACGAAGTCGTTATTCAAGTTCGCAATGGATAACCTAAACCAGGGTGACGTCTCGGTGCATGCCCTGGGCTACAATTCACCCGATCATTTTGTCGATTACAGACGAAATGGACGTGTTCTGTGCCTCTTAATCAGCATCGTGTGTGGGGAGGTATTAAAATGGGCGACCTCGACCATGGCAACATCCATGGCTGATCCGTTAAAAGGATTGGAATATTGCAGTGTAATGCGCACAAATTCTCCACTCAACGGAAAGCCAGAATAGCCACAACGGCGACCAAATATTAGAGTGGAGACTTTTTCAGTGTCACTTAGCGCTTCATTTATACTGACATTTTGACATCAGAAAACAGTTCTTCATTCCACGGTTTTACTGAGAAATATCTCAAACATTTGTGACGTTATTCAGCCTACTTTGAGTAGACCAAGTTTCGATATTGCATGAACCTTTTTTTGCTGCTCGGAATCTTGTGGGTTATGCACTACACGTAGGCCAATAGTGTGTTTTCCACCTTTTTCTCAGATGTGAACTGCCCCCCATGCGCTCTCTGTGAAAGAAATGTAGGTCTTGAAACTGATATTGATGCCCTTGTTTTTAAAATTAAAAAAAAATCCAATGATCCAACTCATTCTCAGTTTAATTCATACTTTCCACGCTTGTGCGGCACCGATATTTTTCGTAAACCCTTTCTTTGTACGCCAGTCTTTGAAGGAAAAACTCCCTGCCAGCTGCCTTACGTAAGCGTGTCTCAAACGGCAATTCACAGAAAACAAACCAATTTATCTGAATTCCCTTATATCAGATGCAGCTATTTTTGAAGTAATCTTCAAATTAGAGAAAAGAAAAACACATATGATGTGCATGGCACCTCATGTGTTAATCCAGCATTGCTGGTGGGAATAAGACGTATAATGAGCCCACGCGTGTCATTAGATGCAGTTTAATCTCAGCCAAGGCCGATCACGTTGCTACTTGCACTCACCCACTGTGGCCTATAAAAACCCAATCTGCTAGATTGAGCATTTGAAGCGTGTAACTAGCCTGCCGAGCCCGGGCTGAGGATGTTCGATCGGCGGCCGGCGGGGCCTCGTTCTTGCTTAAGCAAGTGGTCTATAAATTGGGTCATTACTTTGCTTGTGTTTCTACCAAGTGGAGCAGTGATCTGGGAGGGCTCGCCGTAAGCTCTACTTCTCTAATTCCTCATTCTTTCTCTCGTGTTTTTAATTTAAGGCTCTGGGAATGCAAATCAAGTTTTCCTTTCTATTCCGCCGTTTTTTCCTCTCCTGGTGACAGACTTGCCGGCGGGGGCTCTCGGAAGCGGGAAAAGAAGCCACAATCTAGCGCGCTCAAACCTCGCCGAACTCTTTTTTTTTTTTATTGCGGGGAAGAAGAAACAAATCTAGTTTTGATCCTCTTTCAACTTGGCTGTCGGCGTGTTCGAGTGTGCCCGTCTCCTTGCGACCTTGAAGGAGGTTTAGGTTGATAAAATCATCCGCATGGTGAGATGTTCTCCAGACATTATGCTAACCATGTGTCTTGGCATCTTCTTATCTGCCTTAAAGTTTCTGCTCAGTGATTCTCAGCATGCATGCACGCGCGTTTTGTTATTGACAAAACGAACTTAAGGGTCTTAGTCTTGCGTGCGTGGTTTTATTGCGAGGTGTAGGACGTGGACGGGCGATGGGCGCAGCACGCCCGTGTGAACTTCATGAATTTCCCCGCTTTGCACTGCATGCAGCGGTTTCTTCTTTCTGTCTTTCTTCCAAACAAGCTGGAACGCTGAGAGAAAGGATGCACTTTTTCTCAAAAGAGGAGGGGAACATGATCCTGAGAACACGATACTTCCACGCCTTTCTCAACTGTGGATCTGCCGCCGTGCAAACCTCCTCGATCTGAAAGGATAAGCCTCCAAAAACTATTGAAAATCGGTCCCCATTTAAACTCTTTCTTTGGAAACTTTTGTGTCATTTTTTAATGAAAACAATAACGCCAGCACTTCGTGTACCTTCCATTGAGCAACCGCAGGGCTTTTTCTCAACCGTACCTCTACACCTTTACATAGATAAATCCATTCTTCCCGTGTATAATACAAAAGTTCTTTTACCCTCCCAACTTTTTATTCTGCGCGATGACTCATTTTTACAAAGTTTCAAGATGGCGGCCCCAAGCATCAGTATGCAGTAAGGGCGACTGTAATAGGTACTTCTGAAGAACCCGCCTCGGACAGTTGGTCGTCAAAGAGTTTCTCTTTTTGAATTAGGTAGTAAGAGACGTTGTTTCCGGGATGTGAAAAGCTCATATAATACCACTCAATATTCCTGGTATTGTTTTAGTCATGCAATGACAATATACGTAAATGGTGTAGAGTGCTTATCTGAAGCAACTACTGTAGCCTATAGAATGTAGTCTGTTATCTTTGTTGCACGGAAAGACAGCAGTACGTATCGACATGCATGCCAAATCTAAAACTGCCATTTTTGAATTTATCGGCATGCATGCCAAATCTAAAACTGCCATATTTGAATTTGTCTCTTTTTTGTGTGTAATAGATGTTTTGTTATTTACTTCTATCAGCGTCAGTTACAGTCCGGTCACAGTTTCAAGGTTCGGCTGTTAGAATCCGTCCACAAATCGTATCTATACCACAGGCTCCGCAGGCAAGATCGGTTAAGTTTGATATGTTGTCTGATGCCGTTTGCATGTGTAACATCCGTGGCGTTTCTGCATGATGTTATAGGACTAATGTGAGACTATCGTACAGAGTCGATTTGCCAATACCAACAGTACTGTAGCCTGCCAATACAAGATGCTAGAGTAGCCAAAGAAACCAGTGTGATTTTTTTGCCAGTCCCAGAGGGCGGTAGCCGAGTGTCCTCTTTGCACCGACCTCACCGACTGACTACTGATTGAATAACTGAAAGACTGTGACCAGTGAGCCGGGCAGTGCTATCAAATAGGATACCCCATAATGCCAACGAATCGGCTTCATGTGTACACAAAAGACCAGTGGCACAGAAAGACGTCCAGTTAATAAGCCATTCTGAATCAATTCGGGCGATTCACAATGCAGTGCGCCACCAAGAGTTTGCCACGAAGAGTTCTTTTTTTCCCAGTGCATTGTGGGAGATGGTCGACAAATTCACAGCGCGGGACATTTGAAATTGTTCGTTTTTCCAGTCAGTAGTTTCGTAAAGGTATGCTTTGAGTATCTGTTTGCTCTTTTGTTTTCTTTTTATCAATGTGTTTTTTTTTTGTGAGGCGGCAGAACGTTATGCCCCAATCTATAACAAATTAGTTCAAGTTGTCTACTGACACTCATTTAAATGGGCCATGTTTTGTCGACCGTTAACTAGAAAAATGGACTCTCAATGGCAAACTCTTGGTGGTGCACTGCATTGTGAATCGCCCGAATTGAATAGAGCTGTGTGCACTCAAGGACCAGTTTTATAGGCTTGCTTAGCCTAGTTATGGCCACTGTTTGCGTTCTGCCACTGGTAAACGTTTACAGAAGAGTTATGGTCAATAGTAAGCTGTTACATCTCTATAATATCTCTCGTCTCAGAGGTGCAAATTCAGGAGTCCCCAAGAGGCCCAGGGCACATACTTATTGAGGACACGGTTGTTGACCAGAAACTGAGCGTGTGGGCAGACGTTCACCTGCTCTTTCCGGGAGAAAAGTCGATACGTGCGGCACCCGGCCCGTCGCTGACGATAACACCGGCTAGAAAAGAGAAGCGAATCAAGGCTCCTGGTCTGGGACACGTAAGATCAAATATTGACCGATGATTAACTCGGAAAAGGATGCTCTAGACACGCACAGAATGAATGATCTGGGGTTTGATCTAGAAGCTAACTAGGAAAGGAGGTTATCGATACTAGGACAAGGTAAATTGGAACTGGAGCACGGGTTGTGACGGGGTATAAGGAGCCTCGCAACAAGGCCAAGCAAGATGGATATCCCCGGCCCCGCCCTCCATTGCACGCATGCGCTGAGTGCCGCTGCCGCCAGCTTTATTATTTGCCAGGGATGCCTTGACTAGCCCTGTGTGCACAGCCATGCCCTATTTTTTTTTCGCCGGCTGGCACTGATAGCCTCATATGCTCAAAATAGGGTTAAAATCAGGGGATTTGAAAAAAGAATCCCCAATAAAATATCAGATATCGAGTCTTGCAAAATGGGTATAAACTCAATTATCAATGCGGTACCACCACAATGGAAACTAATTATCCATATAGAGCCTTCTGGAATAGAACCTTTTTTGAAAACTCTGGCAGAAAATTGAAAACAATCCCAGAACCACCTGATATTTGGTCTCCCGATTTCCTATTGATGAATGACAATTGGTGTTCAGTTACTTACGCGATTGGCCTCCTTACTTGCCATCTGGCGCCTTTTAATAAAATCCCCTGAGAGATTGTGAGAGATAAGCGGAGTGAAAAATATCAATATCTCTTCCCATATCAATAGTTCCGCGTTAATGCACTTGCCCGGATTTCTTGACCTCTTTAAACTTTTAAGGAACTGTAATGACGCACGTAATAAAGCACGCGCAGAAATGTTCAACAGTGCAAGCCGGCTCGTGCGATCTCTATACGGCACGTCGGATCGGTGCGCACGTGCTCGCCTTGCAAACAACTTCAGTCGCAAGTACGACTCTTGATGAGCCACGCGTTGTGTACGAAGATAGGTAACCTTCTGCATGCAAGCAGCTAGGTACCATCGTAAAATGAATACGCTGGATGTTCTAATGTGTATCTCACTGCGTACGTGCGGCCGTATGGGTCATGGCTCGGCCAATATCACTTGCGCGTATGATTCGCCATAACCATAGAGCTATATTAAATTACCCCATGACAAATCCAAGAGGTGCGCGCACGTTCATTGTCTTTTCATACGTTTTCGGCCAATCAGACACCAGGAAAAAAAAAACGTGCATCACGGACCGTGACAGCCAATGAAAACCCTGAGAGCTGGGAAGTTAGCCTACTGCCTTTATTTAAAAAATGAAATTCATTGTAAGTGCACGGTGTTTCTCCGTCCCGAAATAGGATGACTATTCATGCATACAACGGAAACCTTTGCAACTAGGCCTACCCGTCATGTATACTTGTTGCATTATCTGTAACTGAATTGCCTGTAACTTTTTTGGTAACATGAACCCCTACCCCCAATGTACAGTACCAAACAAAGTAAAGCCGATCTGAATTAAGGACTTTTGTTATATCAAGTTCTAGTATGTCGGAGCACGCACGTCAGCCAATGGGCCCGGAACCTCTCGACTTCTTGCCATCAGCAAAATTGCATAGGGGGTAGCCTCTTCACGCTGTATAACATACACGCTGTGTAAGTGTTGGGGCTCGAAGAAATAAAGTTATATTTGTCACATCACTAACACCAATATTGTGTACTATCATGAAGACATTTGGTCGTTAATGTGTCTGCAAGTTTTTTGGGGGAATTTTTTTTCTCTGTTTTCCTCATCGACCGGAATACTGAAAATGATGATAATGCATGTGTGGTGAATCCCGTTTGAAAATCGTTCCACATGAATCATTTATTTCTACGATTGATCTGGGTCGAACGCCTGCAGGCATTTTCCCGAGCGTGCAGGAAGATTGAATAAGATGCAGCTTATTCCATTCAATTCAACGATGATTCATTAATTAAAAACATTACAGATAATAATTCTTTAACAAATTAACAAACTGGAACATACTAAGACTTAATAATTGATGAAAATTATATTAAAACCACTGCATTGAAAAATAAATACCACCTTTCTAAAATAGCTTTGTCGTTAGGGGTTGGGTTGACAAAAATATAGAGGTATTTTAAATTGAGAAGACAAAAATGGTAGTATAAGAAGAAATTTAAATAATGAGAAGTTATTAAGTAAACCATTTCTTTAAAAAAAAAATGAAGAAAAAACCCTTAATGTGCAGGATATTTTTGTGATGAGTTTGTATCCGAGTGATGTGCATGTACAAGTTCCATCACGGGTTACTGAAGCCACGGACTACTGAAAAACAAATCTGTATAGCAATATCAAAATGTGAACTCTAAGTTGCACGAGAGCGGATCCAGGGGAGGCGTGGTTGAGGTGGCTAACCAGCCCCTCCCGTCTGACAATGATATTTTGTGTTTCTATATTACTGAAAACAAATTCCAATTTTGCTTAAATTAATTACTTGAAATAATGTTATTTAACAGTTCTAATCTTGGTTCATTGCTTCAGATCTATGGCGTTTCCAGCTGGGGGGGGGGGGAACTCCCACCCCACCCCCATTCGCCATTTTGCTTATGAAAGTGCCAGCACCTCACAGCCGCTACTATTGCCCTGCTGCTTTCAACCCATTTTAAGAAAATAATTTGGAACCATTTTTCCCCCATCAATTCCTCTCCCCCGAAACATTGCTGTTCGGGCCTATAGACTCTCTAAGATAGAGAGTATGTATGTGTTAACTTCAACTTTGACCCTGAAGCCAGGTCATATTTGGTCTTATACACCTTTACGGGTCAAAACGACACTTTGCCAAGATTTCCTGGTCTAAACGACCCGGAAAATGATCTAGGGAAGGATAACGATCTAGATTTTGTCCCGGAAAAGTGTCATTTTTTTTAACCCAGAGAAGTGTAGTCAAAATCTGGCCAGGGACTTTTTAGAGTACACGCACATCAGATTCTGATTGCAATGACCCAGTTTTGACATACTGACAATTGAAAATTTTACAATGCTGAAAATGTATATTTCGATTTACACAAAATTTTAAGGTTGAAGTTGTTTAAAATCTGAATATAGCAATTAACTATTAATAGGTTCTGTCAGTAGTGTTTGAGTGTGAAGAAGATATTTTTTTTTTTACATGTGATACCAAGTGCATACCTATGGGAAAGTAACTGATACAGTAACACTGGTTTACACGCATACACGTGTGTACTTTCTTGTTACTCTTGCGTACCAGGGAACTCCCATTTTACAGACGGAAATGAAACGTGGGACCTCTGTTTCCGCACACCATGGGGTTTTTGATACATTGAGACCTGTTGGGGTATGGTGATATACTTTTTTTTTATCCTCTAACAAACTTCCCAACGTGGTATGATATACGGAAGGATCAAACTTCAAGAATGACGCATTGGCATCGATACTTGGAAGGCTACTGTTAGAAAGGTATTGAAAGTCATTGCTCAGCCTTTGATACCTTTTCATGAAGTCATAGTCATTGATCTCTTGCATGGCATCCGTCGAGTGATCGATAATCTGCTGGAAAGTGTTTCTCATACCCGTGAGTTCTAGTTTGTTCTCAGCGAACCGTTCCTTTCTCTTTGATTGGATTTGTTGGAGTTCATCGAGGAGTATATTCTTGGCGGCATTCACTTTCGCAATCTCCATCTCAGCTTTATGCTGTACCTCCTTTCTGGTTTTGTCCAGTGCCAAATCGAAGTCTTGTTCCAGTGTGTCGGTTTGATTCAGAGCAACCGCGATGTCTTTCATGAAAGTCTGGTATTGCGGCATGTGGTCTTTGACGGCCTGTCTTTTCCCATCCACCACCTCTCTGACCTCTTCTAAGACATGCTCGCTGTGGTCGTCGCTCTCTGCCAGGCAGTTCAGACACAACAACTCTTCGCAAGTCTGACAGTAAGCTCTACAGGGTTTTCCAGCGTGTTCGGAACAAAATGGGGCCGTTTGCTTATCCTCTTGCCGCACCGCTTCCACCATGTTCACGAGCTTGAAATCGGTAGTTAGGCTTTCCACCCCTCCCAGCGCAGTTGAATCCGCCTGTCGACACACTGGACACAGGAGTTCTTCTGAATAGCCGTCATGATACTGCAGAAGGCAATTCTCGCAGAAGCTATGTAAACAAGCGAGAGTCTTTGGAGTGTCGAAGAGATTATAGCATATTGAACACGTCAGGTGCTCCTCTGCAAAATTCCACAAGCTGGAACCGTGAACTCCCTTCTTAGCCATCGTCGAAATGGTTTATCTGGCAAACTACAAAAGATGAAACTATTTTTTTAAAATGAACCAAATGCACATTGTTAGAGTCGGTTTGGCGTATTGTATCGGCATGTAAAAGAGCACCTATTGTATGTACATGTATTTGATTACTGAAAACTAATGCTAGATTTTACCAGGACCTCTCAAAGTTTTTCAACTCATGTGCCGTCCTGAACTAGGTCTAACAGTAGCCCCACTTGTGTATAAGTATTGTAAATGCCTGATCTTACCTTAACTGAAGTTTCTACAGACGATTTTCTCTTTTTTTTGCCAACGACTTGAGAACGACGGATGGCCACTGTGTGTATGATAGAAACCGATATCTGTGTTTATCGTATTGCGTATGAGAAATTCCACATTACACATACGGCCTACTGCATGTACTATACAAAGTCCATGGGTCAGAGGGTGTACCAATGCAATCCTATACAAACGAATATGCCAATCATTTTTCTTTTCATCGCAGCGGTTTTTACCTATTCACCGTGGACTTCGAACATCATACAATGCAACAACAAGCACCAGTAGACTATTTCTCATAGTAAACATGTTTTAGATTTCCCCGATTCAGTACTCTCACAACGGCATTATGAAACTCTATTGAAAAATACCGTTTTCTATTTAGAGGAACATTTGGAGCCATATGCCAACGTCTTTCCAGGGTTTTCTTAAACTCAACTTTGGTCTCAACAGTAGACCCGGGCCGGGGGGGGGGGGGATTCTCAAATGATTACTTTACCACTTCAATGATAGATTTGGTATATTGTACTTAATTATAATGTTCATTAATCTCCCCGAACTGTTGTAGCTATTCCAGTTTATTTAATATCTGTTTAGGGTTATATGAGAGGTTGGCTGGGTGTGCCGAAAGTCAAAGCTCGGCCTGTAATACTTGCGGGTACGTGATTCGCCATGACCACAGAGCTATATTAAATTACCCCATTACACATCCAAGAGGTGTGCGAACGTTCATTGTCTTTTAATTCGTACGTTTTCGGCCAATCAGACACCAGGAAAGTAAACGTGCATCACGGACCGTGACAGCCAATGAAAACCCTGAGAGCTGGGAAGTTAGCCTACTGCCATAATTTTCAAAATAAATGGTAAGTGTACGTATCCCTGGAGTAGAAAAAGGCATGGTGAGGTGGCTTCTCTGCCCCAGAATAGAATGACTATTCATACACACAACGGAAACCTTTACAACTTGGCCTATCCTTACTTATTGCATTTTCTGTAACTTTTTCTGTAACATGAATCACTTTAACCCCCCCCCAAGAAGAATAACATGCAGTACCAAACAAAATAAAGCCGATCTGAATTTAAGACTTGTGGTTGAATGTCGCTGAGCACGCTCGTCAGCCAACTGAATAGTTTTGAATCATTATTAGTTTTAAAAGTGTTTGAGATTGAAAGAGATTTTTTTTTTACATGTGATATCAAGTGCATTGGGAATGTAACATATACACTGGTTTACACGCATGCATGTGTACTTTTCTTGTTACTTTATATCAGCGCACGGCCATTCCACATAATCATGTGAAACATTGCGACTCTACACATCACGTATCATGGGCGGATACTGCAGACTGAAAAGACTGAATCCGTTTTTGTACGCTCTGTAGACAACTTTCCCAACATTGTGCCAAAAGTGCGAGGATTAAACTTCAAGAACGACGCATTGGTATCGATACTTGGAAGGCTAGTGTTAGTAAGGTACTTGAAGTCATTGTTGAGCCTGGGATACATTTTTAGGAAGTCATAGTCATTGCTTTCTTGCATGGCATCCACCGCGTGATCGATAATCTCCTGGAAAGTGTTTCTCATAACCATGAGTTGTAGTTCGTTCTCAGCGAACCGCTCCTTTCTCTTTGACTGGATTTGTTGGATTTTGTCCAGGAGTTTATTCTTGGCCTTATTCACTTTCGCGATCTTCTTCGCAGCTTGCTCCTGAACCGCCTTTCTTGTTATGTCCAGTGCCGAATTAAAGTCCTGTTCCAGTTTTTGAGTGGTATCCATAGCCGCCACGATCTCGCCTATGAAAGCTTGATATTTTGGCACGTGTTCTTTGACAGCCTGTCTTTTTCCATCCACCACCTCTCTGACTTCTTCTAAGACATGCTGGCTGTGGTCGTCGCTCTCTGCCAGGCAGTTCAGACACAACAACTCTTCGCAAGTCTGACAGTAAGCTCTACAGGGTTTTCCAGCGTGTTCGGAACAAAATGGGGCCGTTTGCTTATCCTCTTGCCGCACCGCTTCCACCATGTTCACGAGCTTGAAATCGGTAGTTAGGCTTTCCACCCCTCCCAGCGGAGTTGAATCCGCCTGTCGACATACTGGACACAGGAGTTCTCCTGAATAGCCGTCATGATACTGCAGAAGGCAATTCTCGCAGAAGCTATGTAAACAAGCGAGAGTCTTTGGAGTGTCGAAGAGTTCATAGCATATTGAACACGTCAGGTGCTCCTCTGCAAAATTCCACAAGCTGGAACCGTGAACTCCTTTCTTAGCCATCGTCAAAATGGTTTATCTGGCAAATTACAAAAGATGAAACTACTTTTTGTTTTAAGTGAACCAACTGCAAATTGTTGGAGTTAGTTTGGCGTAACGGTACCGGCATTTAAAAGAGCACCTTGCATGTGTATTTGATAACTGAACACCCATGCTAGATAGTTGCTGTAGGACCTCTCGAAGTATTCAGCTCATGTGCAGTCTTGAACTATAGGTCTAACAGTAACCCACATTAATGTGTATAAGTTTTGTAAATTTCTTATTATCTTACCTTAAACTGAAGTTTCTACAGACGATTTCCTCTTTTTTTTTGCCAACGAATTGAGAACAACGGATGGCCACAGTGTTATGATGGAAACCAATATCCGTTTTTATCGTATTGCGTATGATGAGAAATACACGCTACATATACTGCCAACTACATACTATACAAAGTCCATGGGTTAGAAGGTTAATAATAATATTTTCCAATGCGAACCTATACAAATGAATATGCTATCGCAGTGGTATTTACCTATGCGCCGTGAACTTCGAACATCATACCATGCAACAACAAGCACCAGTAGACTATTTCTCATAGTAAACATGTTTTAGATTTCCCCGATTCAGTGCTCTCACAACGGCATTATGAAACTCTATTGAAAAATACCGTTTTCTATTTAAAGGTACATTTGGAGCCATATGCCAACGTCTTTCCAGGGTTTTCTTAATCTCAATATGGAGCAATAAAAAAGGAGCTCCATGATCTCAACTTCTCAACAGAAGACCGGGGGGGGGGGGGGGGTTAGGGGATTCTCGAATGAATACTTTACCACTACAATGATAGATTTGGTATATTGTACCTGTTTGTTTTTCAAAGTATATTACATATTTCGACGCTCTTCGTAATTATTATGTTCATTAATCTCCCCCGAACTGTTGCAGCTATTCCAGTTTAATTAATATCTGTTTAGGGCAATATGAGAGGTTGGCTGGGTGTGCCGAAAGTCACCTTGCAACTTACCTAAAAGAAAATCCCGATACGACGTCAAAGGGATATTCCAGTACCTTAGACTCCTTGGATACTACATATGAAAACATTGATCGAGAAATCATTTAGGCCTATATGACTATACTATAGGCCTATAGTATTGTCAATGCCGCTCAATTCACGCCTCATCAAATAATCAAAGATATTTTGATTTGCAGATAATCCAATATACTTGGGCTAGACTCACGGGGAAGAGGTTTGACATTATCAGACATTAAGGAAGAATCAGACATTAGTTTTTCCCTATTAATTGCGTAATTGATTAAATTGAATGGAGCGTATGTGAATTATCTTGTTTGTTTACTAGGATTTCCTCCCTTCGTTGGGGTAGGCTATAACGGACGGTTTCATGAGCCTTAAAATCGGGCGGTGCGTTCCAGGAATATGATATACACAATCAGATCGTCGATGGGATTCACTCAACCGTCGCGTGACGCCGACGTAGCTGTGGGCATGCCCTCTTCACTCAGACTTCCCCTGCACATTTTTTTGGGCTAATATTTCGTTTCCTCTTCGATCGGAATACTGAAATGATGACAATGCGTGTGTGATGAATCCCATCAGACAATCGTTCCGCATGATTCATTTATTTCTTCGCTTGATCTCGGTCCAACTCCTGCAGGCCGATTCCCGAGTGTGGGGGAAGAGTGATCAAACTGTGCTTTGTTAATCCAATTCGACGATGGCTTGTAAATATAACAAACATTCCAAATAATAGTTCTTTAATAATAAACTGGAAAATACTAGAATTAATAATTGATTAAAATTATATTATTACCATGAATTTTGAAATTTGAGTTTGGCGTTTACAAATAGAAAAATATTTTATATTGAAGGAAGAAATAATCAGTTATAAAGTAAACCTCCTTTGAAGAATAAGAAAATAATAATGTGCAGGATATTCTTGTGATCATTTTGTATCCGAGAGACTGTGCATGCATCATCACAAGCTACTAAGTACACGCATGCATGATTGAAAACACATCCGTCATGATATCCAAATGAGAACTCTAAAGCAGGTTGTACAAGGACGGATCCAGGGGGGGGGGATAACCAGCCCCCTTCCGTGCGACCAATGTATTTTTTTTTATCACTACTGAAAACAAATTCCCATTTGCTTAAAATAAGTTTGCTGAAATACTGCCATTCAACAGTTCTAATATTAGTTCATTGCTTCAGGCCCATGGCGTATCGGGGGTGGATGGGTGGGGGGGGGGGGGGTTGGATAGGGGCAACTTGCCCCCCCCCCCCTTCCCGCAGTCCTAATTTAAATGTCCTAAATATTGGGACATTCAAATTACATAATTCCAGGGGTTAAGATCGCGCCAGCCATACAATTTCGTACCCATGGAAAACGAGGTTGAGTTTGTTTAATTGGGTTAACACGTGACTAAATTGACTTTTCAGAGTGCACGCACATCCGAATGAGCCCATTCGATTATTAACAATTTACATATTCATTTACAATACTGTTAATGCTCAAAATGTATATTTCGCTTTTACAAAGATTTATGTCGTTTTAAAAGCAGTATTGAATCATTCATTATAGTGATTGATTTTGAATGACCTATTTAAAGGTGATATCAAGTACATTATGAGAAAGTAGCTGATACCTTAACAGTGGTTTACACGCATACCCGTGCACTTTTCATGTTACTTTTTCGGACCAGCGAACGACAATCTCATAGGGGCATTAACAATAACACTGACTCTGCACACCATAGGGGTGCTTGCGTAGAGGCCCTGTGAAGCTAGCGCCACCCCTGCCATTTTCTTTGCCTCCCTTTTGCTCGATAATTGGTGATTGTTTTATGTATGGGCAGATCCTGCTTTGTTAATAAACTGCCAAAACTTGTGCCAAGGTCGCCAGACTTAAACTTCAAGAATGACGCATTGGCATCGATACTTGGAAGGCTACTGAAAGTCAGGTATTGGAAGTCATTGCTCAGTTTGGAATACCTTTTCAGGAAGTCAAAGTCATTGCTTTCTTGTATGGCGTCCGCTGCGCGATCGATAATGCCCATGAAAGTGCTCCTCATACCCGTGATTTCTAGTTTGTTCTCGGCGAACCGCTCTTTCCTCGTGGTTTGGATTTGTTGGAGTTCATCTAGGAGTTTATTCTTGGCGGCATTCACTTTCGCAATCTCCTTCTCAGCTTGCTCCTCTACCTCCTTACTGGTTCTGTCTAGTGCCAATTCGAAGTCTCGTTCCAGTGTGTCGGTTTGATTCAGAGCAACCGCGATCTCTTTCATGAAAGTCTGGTATTGCGGCATGTGGTCTTTGACAGCCTGTCTTTTTCCAGCCACCACCTCTCTGACTTCCTCTAAGACATGCTCGCGGTGGTCGTCGCTCTCTGCCAGGCAGTTCAGACACAACAACTCTTCGCAAGTCTGACAGTAAACTCTGCAGAGTTTTTCATCGTGTTCGGAACAAAATGGGGCCGCTTGCTTATCCTCTTTCCGCACCGATTCCACCATGTTCACGAGCTTGAAATCGGTAGTAATGTTTTCCACAGCTCCAAACGTAGTCGAATCCGCTTGTCGGCACACTGGACACATGATTTCTTCTGAATAGCCGTCATGACACCGCAGAAGGCAATTCTCGCAGAAGCTATGTAAACAAGCGAGAGTTTTTGGAGTGTCGAAGAGATTATAGCATATTGAACACGTCAGGTGCTCCTCTGCAAAACTCCACAAGCTGGAATTGTGACCTCCCTTCGTAGCCATCGCAGAGATGAATGGTACCTGGCCTGTAAACAAACGTGACATATTTTAGAAAAAAGCGTGCCCTCATAATTTGCACAGGTCTCAGGGTTGTTCAGTTGTCCATAGAAATTACGTTTGTGGAACTTGCAATACCCTACTCATTGAACTAAATTAGCTTCTACTAAAACCGTGTTGGCAATAACAAACGGTGTACTATCCATTATCCGCATGTAAGGTTTGGTCAAATTTGTCGGATATCCTGCCTTGCGTTTCAACATCACGAAATGTACAAGTATAGGCCTATACTATACGAAGACCTTTTTACGTACTAATCGGGATGCAGCAATTGGAGCTCTAGATGTACAGACTAAGGTTCACTACGTACCACCCTTACTTCCTTTTTGTATAGTTGGCACAACAATTTAGGGGATGATCCTATGACCCATCCCCAAACTTAAATAGTTTAATGTTATATCCAGGGATGTGAATGGACTCTGATATTTTTGTCTGATATTCGAGGTAGATGCATACAGATATGCATGTACATGTACGTACGCGTGTGTGGTGCCAATTATGTTATTTACAATTTGATAAAAGCCAAAAATCCGATAATTGCAGGAGGAATCGCATCATTGTCTATCCTCCCTCCCAGCCCCCCCCCCCCCCAACTCCACCGGGGGGGGGGGGGGGGGTGCCGGCCTTAACTCCACCAAATTTGGAGAACCAGGATTTGGGACTCTTTTTTGATGCTGTAGGAATCCTTTACGCACAAGGAACATTATTCCGTGTGCGTCACTGTCCCACTGAAATTGGCAAAAATAGTGCTGCATGTTAGGCCCTTATTCCTCTCATGTGTTCAGTTCCATGCTGCATGTACATACCTTGTTTGTCGTTCAAATAACCTGCTGCCTGAAACTAGGGCTGTTGTTAATTCCTACCGAATTGTAAGTTTTCTACCTCAAAGAAGAATGATTTTCTAAGCCGACTTTTATACCTCATACTATGCTGGACGAGGGTAAACTGTTTTGAGCGTAAGAAAACTGCATGGTATCCGTCTTTATTACATTACATTGGAAATTCGTTGGTATACCATTCGTAACAATGAACTTTTGTGCATTGCGTGGGCTTTTTTTCAACACGCCCTTGTAGGAAATCCCCGCTGGCTTTGTCAGGATAGCATGACGTCACGCTAATGAGAAATACTTTTCAGAACAGTCGACGGCTGTTTGATGTTTTATTTTTATTATTATGAATAGAAATGCGGTTCAACGTTAACGTATGATTTAATTAACAAAGATTGGAAATTCATGTTTTGGTGAACACAAGAGAAAAACGAGAATAGAATTTGTGTTGCTACCAATTGGTCCCTTTATTGTCTCGACTTTAAGGCGGTTGGCACTAGTAAATTACAAGTTCAATCACGTGACATGTCTCACGCATGCGTACTACTTCGGTATAGGTTATCACGTAAATCATAACATCCCCCTCCCCTTAATGGCAAAAGCGTTACGGTGTCAGTTGTTCAGATACTCCCAGAAAGGGCAGTTACTTCGTACATTAGGCCAAAAAAGTCTCCTGTTTCTGGTATGGAGCTTGCTCAAAAAGTGGTGCGGCGACGCGCCTTTTTTTTTTTCTTCAAATGGTGCCAGACTAAACTTATTGCAAATATATGGGAGTCCAGAGAGGCTTATTCTCGATCGTAACCCCATCTAAAAACACGTTAAAAATGTGCAGCAGCAGGATTCCAGTCAAACAGTGAGTTTGGCGGTTTGGAGACATCATCTTTCATTGAAATTTTTTTTTTTCATTTGCCGACGCGCTTATGCGTCTACGGCAATGCCCGCGCATACCGGAAACAGGAGCCTTTTTTTTGGAGGGGGCTGTGATCGAGTGTGCAGTGATCGTGTATCCGGATTCGCCTGTACTTAGTTGCAGAAAATTATACCCTACTTTGGGGCTAGTGTACCGCGTGCGTAACTGCGTACATACAGAGCTGCCAGCCAGTGGCGGATCTTGGGGGGGGGGGGGGCTCCACCGTCGGTGACTATTACGATAAGACTGTTGATATTTAATATTGACTGTTACGATACTATTAAATGGGACTACAAAAAATGGAATGGATTACTTTAGTTCAAATGTCCCCCTTAAATTGCCTAAGAATGCAGGAGAAAGCATCGTAATTTTCAAAATTTTCAGGGGGGGGGGGGGGCGGGGGAATGTCCCCTAGCAGGATAAGCCTTCTGCACACCTTTACTCACCACACCCCAGTAGTGGAGGTAGACTTCTTAACACAATTTGACCTTGGGCATAGAAATATGTAAAGGTCACATAAATATGTAAATATGAAAATATGTAGATATAAATATGAATGAATGGGGTTATGAAATTCCGGGCACAGTTTGACCTAATGAATGGATGGGATGAATAGGGAATAGGTGTGGGTATAAGGGACCGGGTACAGTTTGACCAATTCTATGGGAAAGATTGCATAAGGTATGGAAAAAAAAATATATATATATTTTTATGGTACATTTGGATCTTAGCCCGAATATGAGTTTCATACGTTAGTCCCTGTGAACGACCAGCTGGTCGGATCTTTAATCCCCCAACAATAGACGGGAGAGGGCGCGTGCCAAGTCAGCCCACTAGTATTGTTACGAAGTTAATCCGATCGATACAAAAAGTAATTGGATTTCCGAATGCTCGACAGCAGAAAGCAGCGATAGATGGCAAAAATGAATTTTGCGTTGATCAGACTGAAACGAGTAGGATTGTCTATTTGAAGAATTATTTTAAAGTCATTTTTATTGGGTTTATGGGTATTGTGCACGTTGCGTTTTCCAAGTTATAAACAAACACTCACCGCAGCATACTTGCAGGGTACAGCCTGTGTCGGCCATGCATGGGGGTACATGTATATGATAAATCCACGATCCATAATCCATGCGTCTGTACGGAGACCGGTGGTCGATCACCCCTCGATGATCGCACCGATCCTGGAGCAAATAAATAACTCCGTCCGTGCGCCTATATTCCTCTTGTTAATCGATACAATACCAATGGCACTCTTCTACACTGCCACCAGAATCATCCAAGTTAAAATATATGTTTGTGCGCGGTGATCGTAGAAAAGGGAAGGTTTTGGCATCAGCCAGAGCAAATGCTAGTATACATGCACACTACTGTATACACGCCGTCCGATCAGATAGCGCTCAAGTTTTCTTAATCCGTGACGGCTAAATTATCGATTAGGCTCTATAGTCTGCAGAGGCGCGTACAATAAGGAATGGATTCAGTGGTTTAAAGCCATAACAAAACGTGCGGGTATGTGGTTTTCAAGGGAACTACGGCCTGGAAAGTGCCCGATTAAGTGTATAGGAATAACACAACCATCATTGTGCATTTTGTAATATTTCGTACTAGAACGACCCCAAAACCAAGCTATAGCCTATCCATAGTTAAAAATTCAGTCGTAACGTGGTAAAAATGGTGCCCCTTTAACGCTGTCTGTATAGGAATGCACCGAACCCTAGTTGTACCTCCGTGCCGGATTTGTTTACAAAATCGAGGATGACTGGGTTTTATCTACGACCATTTTACGGGGGTTATTTAGAGGGCGTGTTCAAGCAATAATTTTATGACTGAGAGTAGGCTTTTCCAATTGATAAGACAACACAAACAAAGAAAAATACAACTGCAGAAAGTACAACCGATATGACATTATTGCTTTATTGACGTCATTTTTCAGTAAAACATCATTCTGCTCTTTACCCTGCTCATCCTGCTCTTTTTCCTGCTCATCCTGCTCTTTACCCTGCTCATCCTGCTCTTTACCCTGCTCATCCTGCTCTTTACCCTGCTCATCCTGCTCTTTACCCTGCTCATCCTGCTCTTTACCCTGCTCATCCTGCTCTTTACCCTGCTCATCCTGCTCATCCTGCTCTTTACCCTGCTCATCCTGCTCTTTACCCTGCTCATCCTGCTCTTTACCCTACTCATCCTGCTCTTTACCCTGCTCATCCTGCTCTTTTCCCTGCTCATCCTGCTCTTTACCCTGCTCATCCTGCTCTTTACCCTGCTCATCCTGCTCTTTACCCTGCTCATCCTGCTCTTTACCCTGCTCATCCTGCTCTTTTCCCTGCTCACCCTGCTCATCCTGCTCTTTACCCTGCTCATCCTGCTCTTTACCCTGCTCATCCTGCTCTTTACCCTGCTCATCCTGCTCTTTACCCTGCTCATCCTGCTCTTTACCCTGCTCATCCTGCTCTTTACCCTGCTCATCCTGCTCTGTACCCTGCTCATCCTGCTCTTTACCCTGCTCATCCTGCTCTTTTCCCTGCTCATCCTGCTCTTTACCCTGCTCATCCTACTTTACGGCATAGAGTAGGATGAGCAGGGTAAAGAGCAGGATGAGCAGGGAAAAGAGCAGGATGAGCAGGGTAAAGAGCAGGATGAGCAGGGTAAAGAGCAGGATGAGCAGGGTAAAGAGCAGGATGAGCAGGGTAAAGAGCAGGATGAGCAGGGTAAAGAGCAGGATGAGCAGGGTGAGCAGGGAAAAGAGCAGGATGAGCAGGGTAAAGAGCAGGATGAGCAGGGTAAAGAGCAGGATGAGCAGGGTAAAGAGCAGGATGAGCAGGGTAAAGAGCAGGATGAGCAGGGAAAAGAGCAGGATGAGCAGGGTAAAGAGCAGGATGAGCAGGGTAAAGAGCAGGATGAGCAGGGTAAAGAGCAGGATGAGCAGGGTAAAGAGCAGGATGAGCAGGGTAAAGAGCAGGATGAGCAGGGTAAAGAGCAGGATGAGCAGGGTAAAGAGCAGGATGAGCAGGGTAAAGAGCAGGATGAGCAGGGTAAAGAGCAGGATGAGCAGGGTAAAGAGCAGGATGAGCAGGGTAAAGAGCAGGATGAGCAGGGTAAAGAGCAGGATGAGCAGGGTAAAGAGCAGGATGAGCAGGAAAAAGAGCAGGATGAGCAGGGTAAAGAGCAGAATGATGTTTTACTGAAAAATGACGTCAATAAAGCAATAATGTCATATC